GCACGCTGGGACTCCACTTCTCATGTATTTTGTCAATAAAGGCAATGTGGGTGTTTTGTTTACATGCCACTACTACAGAAACTCGTTACATGGCACGTAAATAGTCTCGGTAAGGATCATGGCCCGGGTCCTGGAAGGGGGTGGGGCTCTGCCCCCCCCCCCCCCCCCCCCCGGATCTCACAGGGGGGGCACGAGCCCCAATGCCCCCCCCCCCCCCCCCTCCAAAGTTGACGGGTCATTTCTTGTGTCCGTGCTTTATATACTGCATTTGTTTCTTTTCCGATCTAAAACTGCTTTCATAAATAATTAAAACGGCTCGTGCCACTTATATTTTGTATGGTATCATTCCTCCGACGCCCGTCGGAGGAAGCACTTCCATTTTGTATTTCGACTAAAAAGAAGCTTTTAGCGGCTCTGAGGAGTAGTAATTAACTCACATATCGCAGTTACTCTCTCCGTGCCCGCTGGCTTGCCCGAACCCCAAGAGACGCTTGAATATGATTGCAGGGCCCCTTTAAAAGTACATGCACTGAAAGTACTTCCCAATGCAGCTCGTTTATTTTTTATGTAAAAACGTTGGGGTAATTGCTAAAGTTTCTCAAACGATCTTCGAATCTTGGAAGAGCTGCATACTTTGAGTTTTGGAAGAAAAGGGAATGCAAAGAGATTGCGTTGCCATGTAGCACGCGTTGCCGCCTTAGCATTGCCATTTAGCACGCGATTCTTCAAGTACAGCAAAAACTACGGGATCACCAGATGAGCTTCAGTGCGGGTGATGCGTGTTGTTGCCTCCTTTGAGCAAGGATGCAATGTGGAAATCTCCTGTAGTGGACGAGAGTCCTACGTTGGGGAGAAGCGAAGACAAGCCCCTTTTCTTCAACTTCGTGAAGTTTCCTTGAGCTTCGGGACACAAAGAAACGCGAGTTTCCGCAGTTACTCGGCCTCACTTCAATGTGTCTGTTCGCGATTTGCCCCACACATATATATATATATATATATATATATATATATATATATATATATATATATACCTTTTGCTAAATTACCCAAGCATCAAAAAGAATGCTCATAACGTATGTAAACAAGCTGAACGTATTTGCCTTACCTGTACTAAATATTCAAAGTAAACAAGCAACTTAAGACGAATCCCGGAGAAAAGCTCACCGGAGAAAAGCTCACCGGAGAAAAGCTCACCGGAGAAAAGCTCACCGGAGAAAAGCTCACCGGAGATAAGCTCACCGGAGAAAAGCTCACCGCAAAACCGGCGGATGTGGAGAAAAGCTCACCGGCCATTGAGTGCATGCGGAGAAAAGCTCACCATTTTTTTCCCCTTTTCATATATGGAGGTTGTTGGATCATGCGTAACATATATCATTTTAGTATCATTAAAATTCGTCAGCTTCGTAAAAAGAGAAAATGTCCTTTTTGTATTATTTGTTAAGCTTATTGGGTATATTGCTCCCAAATTAATAATTACGGGCGAGTGTTTTCTATGGCTTACTCTGTAGGCAACGAAAGACCAACTCAACACTTCATGAACTCGAAGAACAGGAAAACGTTCGAAAACTTAATAATGTCTGCCTAAAATCTAAAAATCAAAACGGCAAATGCCGACAATCCGAAAGCGCATGCGCAACAACGCGGTGACTGAAATTCTCTTTGAAGCTTTTGTTAACCTTTGAGAACAGGATAAAAAAGTTCGAGGATATCGAGGTTTCTTTGTTGTTGTTTTTTATTTCGTTTTTTTTTTTTTTTTTTTTTTTTCACGGAGAAGCACGTTTTTTAGCCGTTCGGTTTTTCCACACGTTGCCTTTGTGTGATAGTGCCTTTATGCTGCGAACCACCCGTGACCTTCAGCGCTGCCCACCGGCACCGTTGTTACTCGTGACCTATATAAGAACTAGTCTTCTGTGAGGTAGTGGATCGGGCGAGTTGGTAAACGTTATACATGATGAAAACCGCTCAAATGACGGCGACGGAGTGAAGACAACGAACACGACAGGACGAAGCTGTTCTCGCAACTAAAGTTTTCTTAGTGAAATTAACAGAAGGAAAACAGCTTAGCCGACACTGATTACATCAAGAAACACCTACTTATCTATTAGGCACTACACAATATTTGGACTGAAACGGTTCACACACCGCTATTCATATTGGCTCGCAAAAAAACAAACCTCTTTATTTGACAGAGCTACCGACGGCACACTGCCAGTTGTCAATAAATTGTTCTTTTTTACCGGTGTAAGATGATCTGATTTTATACTTGCGAATTCATTAATATACAAAATGGGTGATTACTAATTTCTGATGAATTAGTAAATATGCCCAATGAACTTCATGAACATTGCAAAAAACTGGATATATTTTTAATGAAGTGACAAGTGCGAATTATGTTAAATTGCAACGTTTGACGCTAAGTTAAAAAAATTCGGTAAGTCTTTCTCCGCATCCGCTCAAAGGCCAGTGAGCTTTTCTCCGCATCTGCCGGTTTTGCGGTGAGCTTTTCTCCGGTGAGCTTATCTCCGGTGAGCTTTTCTCCGGTGAGCTTTTCTCCGGTGAGCTTTTTTCCGCCGCCCACTTAAGACATTGATGGACGTGTGCACAAAGTGCCATTTGTTTTTGGATTTTTACTTTAGAAGTTACTGGTGCAGAAGGCAGTACGGCAGGAGCATGGAACTGCAGTCGCGCATACTCCCCGAGTCGGGGTAATTTAGTAAAGTCTATTTGCTCCATGGAGTTCAAGCCTTTAAACAAATTTCTGATTTCGAAGTTGATTTAAATAACCATGTGTCCCCGACACCTATATAACTTCTCCGGTATATGGAAGTCTGTTTTTGCTTCTCATGTGATGAAGAGCAATTTTATGTCTCTGTGGACTGGACAAAACAAAGCACAAAGGGGCGCATGGCGAGACTATGACCATCATGCATGCAAACCGCGAGAAAGTAACAAATTAAGTAACTGCCATGGCGAGTAGTCAGTAGAGCATCAAATACTATTTTGTTCTATTTAACAAAACAAATTATGCTAATTCGCAAATTGAATTGACAGGCATCTTATTTAAGAAACCTCAACAGCCAGGCTATTACCAGTTTTTCTTGAATAAGAATGTTCACCAGGGTAAGCGCTATTTCAGGCCAGATTCGATACGAGTACGAAGATGCGTATAGATTAGAAGAAACGATTTTGATCAAACCTTTCTGCATCGGTCTTTGCCTGCATCACGTTACTGAGTGTGATCAATGTTGGTTAGAAAAACAAGCGTTGCGATTGCCGTTCACCATTTCTATAAAAGGTAGACTCAAAGGGCTTGTCCCAACTTTTGTAATTTTTAGAAATATTGGTTTTAGCTCAGTCATATATTAAAAAAACATATTTCGTAAACTAAATTTCACAATATATATGGCAACGAGGTGACCATTCCATGATTTTATGCACCACAATTAATTCCGTAGTTGAAGAGCACTACTATGATATAACTTTTAATCCTGCGATGCGAAGTTGTACAAACCATGGGTCTTCGAGGCGACCTACCACACTTCGTGACAACCTTCCGATTGAGGTAAAATATATGCAACCTGGGCAAACAAATTAATGTTGAGTCGTATAAACACTACATTTGGTATGTTACTCGGAATTTCCTTTTACAGTTTCTTCAAAATTAAATGACGCTATTTCTTATTTTTGGTACCCGAAAACAAAAGTAGGCCATATGAGCGATAAAAACTGTACACTTTAGTTACTCGTTTCATGGCGGAAATAGTGCCTCTTACCAAAACAATGTGGCAAATATATTATCAGTTTAGCAATTCAAACCTGTTTGAAACATTATTTTTGGTCCCCTTAGCTGAACCGAAAGCAGTAAACCCGAACCGAACCAGTAAATATATTCGGTCCGACACTTCCACGTTTATTCCAATGTCTGCGTTTTCTTTTTTCTTCCTCGACACCACTCTTTAAAATTAGGTCGACCCCCAATAAAGGCCAAGAACGTTCGACCTGTAATAGCACCTAGTAAAATTTCTAATCCCATTGTGCTCTAACCCAGTCGCTTGCCCCGAGTCGGCCACTGCTCCTTTCACATTGCCGGTGAAACTCAACGCATGCGCACCTTTGCGAGGCAAAGGATGCAAGTGGCGGTAGCGCCACGGCACAGACGAAAGTGGCCGAAATGATAACCGGGAGATCTTATTTGAAGTACGAGACCCTGGTTCTTTCTTGTTACAGCAACCGCCATACTGCCATTTCACAAATTTTTCGTACAAACCTTAATTTCGTGACATCACCGACAAAATGGCACCATCTGGCAGATGACGTGGAAAGTGCAGTCGACGGGCGGATTTTTAGCTAAGGAGTAGACACCATGAAACCCGTGTTTGTACCGCACAACTTTTTTTTATAAACATTAATGCGGGCCGATATGAAAATGTTTTCCTTTCACTTCGGTTAAACTTGCCCTGGCGCAGGTGCAGCGCCATTCTTTGCAAAAACGGCATTTTTGTGCAAGTAGCACACTTGAATCTTCATGGTTTTGTTTGGAGCAGCACTTCCATCACTGAAGGAAGAGTTTAGTATGGCAAGAAAACTTGGCTCAGATTCTCAGTGTCCCTCGAGATACTACAGTTAAAATGTTAATTGGTCGTCGGTCGCACAATTTATAAAATTGGCAATTTTTTAAAAAGAAAGACATGTGGAGTGAGAGGTCTTGCTGAACTAAATTTCAAAAGTGAGTACAACAGGTACACACATCAACTTCATTTTAGCGAGCAATAAACTATAGATATATTTTTTGAAAACTTTGTTTCACTAATTGGTATTACACATTCACGCTCATTAAGTTTGATTATGAAACTCAATTGAAAAGGGACTAAGATTTCCTGCAGGATTGCAGTTTCGGGGTGCAACGGATGTGTGCAGCCTGCAAGAAATTCCTCTTTTTGTGAAAAAAAAAAGAATGTTTACAGAAAATTAAAAAAAGTTGGTAAGAACAGTTTTTTTCTTTTGCACTGGAGTAAATTTTATTTACAGGGCACTAGGAGTTCAATGGAGAAAAATCTTCACATCTAGAGGCACAACAAAAGACCGCACATCCTAGAGGGCAACATTTCTCGAGTCTCCGTAGTCTCCGAACCGAAAGCCACAGAAAACAAACAGAGCCACCAACTTGGAAAAAAACAAGCAAACAAAGGACACTGAGACCTTTGTCAGATATATTTCTCCAAAAACAAACGAAAGTAATCCCTGCAAAAAAACAGATGAGTGTACAAACTGAGAACACTTAGTGCCTAGAAGCAAGCGCGCAAACACCTTGCCTCTTGCTAGTCAGTCGCTCGAACCAAGGCCAACGGTTACATAGGAAGGTAAGTTGCCCACTTTCTCCCCAAAAAACGGTTGCTACTGGGGGGAGGGGGTGGGCAAAGATGCAAGTATCCTGGTTATAACTCCCGAGTACCGACCTCCACGCTGCATTGCACTGCTGGATTTATGTACAGGCGTGGAGGCCCAAACACACGCTCGACGCCACTCTCGCCAGAAAAATAGCGTTTCCATGCACACGGGCCTGCAGGCCTTTCGTTATGCCTGGAGAAAGTGGGAAGGACGACGCATTAAATGCACAGACGCTGCACAGTCGGTGCGCACGACCTACGATGGCGCTGCGACACAGACGAGGCTTCCCCACGGAAGGGAGCGACAGTAAAAAGTCTCTGTCAAAAGCCGTGCAGGGAAGCTCGTTTTCCCCGTGGCAGTTTGGAGGACCCTTGGACGAGAGCACTGGGCAGTGCGGAGGGGTGACGCTCGTGTGGCTTAACCGTGCTGTCAGCGACACTTCATTTATTTGTCAGAGATCCCCGAAAAAAACTTTGTTAAAAACTCCAAAGAAAAAAAGAAACTCCGCAGCTAAAAACTATGCTCTTAAATTAGAGGCCCCTGTTTAACTTTGCCTCTTCTCAACAATCTGGAAGTTGGAAAAAAAAAAAAAAATAAAAGTGAAAGGAAAAAAAAAATTGTTCCTTCGACCTGCAATCGCTTGGAAGAAGGAACAAAAAACGAGCAACAAATCTGAGGCTGGCTTAAAGTCACCTGAGCATTTGCTCGACGCCCGGAGAGTGCCCGACTTGGCCAGAAACCTAAAAAAGACGCGACAGAAGCCCAGCCACCGTCTTCGAGACTCGTCTAGGCGGGCGTCGGCATCCCCCACTCCCTGATCTCGGCGTACCACGCCTCGCCAAACCGAACCGAGGACGCTTGGAGCGGACGACGGAGATGGCACGGCGTCCCTCGGGGCACCTCAACCGGCCGCGTCACGAGGCGCCCGTCGGAGGAGGAATCACACACAGTCTGTCGAAGGGTGCTTGCGGGACGCCGCCGAAAGTTGCGCGGGTGGCGCGGCCGGTCGCGCGACCGCCGCCGGGGGGCGGGCAGGGGGGAAGCTAGGGGACCACCTCGACATAGTTGGCGGGGTAGAGTCCGACCCGGCCGTCCTTGCGGCCCTTGCACCAGCCCTGTTCGTCCTCGTCCTCCAGCTTCTCAAACTGGTCCCCTGGACGGAAAGAGAGAAGGCGACGCTCAAAGACTGCATCGGTTGCGTCTAGCAGTGCTGCAAAACTATGCAAAGCGCAAGTTCGTCTGCTTCTTTTGCGGGCGTCGTGGTGACGTTAGAACGCCGAGTTCTGTCTGGCTCTGATGGAGAATAGTGGGCAGACCTCAAAGCAAGCTGCCTTGAGGTCTACCCACTATCATTCAATCAGAGCCAATCACAACTCGGCGTTCTGACATCACCACAACCCCCACAAAAGAAGCAGACGAACTTGAGCTCAGTACCATGGAGGAAGGAAGAAGAGGAGGCGGCGACATACCGGCTCAAGCCAGCATAACGAGAAAATCCGAAGTGAAGCCAAAAGTAGAGGTCGCAATCGGCGGAAGTGCCCCGAACTGTGACCAAAACAGCTGTTGGTGCCAAATCACCTCTTTTCCCTCATGTTACCTCTAGAAGCTCCCTGCCTCCATGGACAGTAGTATAGATAGTGGAAGCCATATCTAACTGTCAACAGTACCATATTTTCCGAACTATAATCTAAACCCAATGTAAAAAAAAGTACTGGTAATTTTTTTTTTTAGTTGTTTGCATTTAGTGCATTGTTTACCCCTGGTGCTCAGTTCACACAATAAAATCTCTCACAAAGTATAATTTGCCAAATGCCTGCTTTATTAACTTGCAAAGAAGCTTGCATCATACTTAAAAAGGCGATGCAACGATTCTTGTATTTTGTGCAAATATCGCTTAGAACGAATCCCCGACGTTAATGACCCGTGAAATACCCGTTCGTTTTTCACCACACGCAATCGAAGTAGCAGAAAAAAAATAAAAAAAACGAGCAGAGTTCAACCCCTCAACTCGCAGCCAGAACAAGCTGCCATGTGATCTGGAGCCGATTATATGCCGCCAATGGTGATCATAGCCATGCGCTGGGGTTGGCAAGGCACAGGACACGCGCACTGAGTTCCAGACATTGTTATGGTTCGGCTGTTGCCGTCATTGCAGCGATTGGACACGGGCCACTACCCGAATGCTTCTCGAGCTAGTAATTATCACGAGGCCAAATCGAGTGCCCACGCAATGCTCGGTTCCAACCTATGAACCGCTTTCGAATATCGTCACTTGGGTGTACTGCGCTCCCCACGTTACGTCATCAAATTTTGCAAAGGAGAGATTGAATGAAAACGCTCTGTTTTGTCCTCGAAATTAGAGCGCAACAAAGGAGTTTCTTAGCCAGTGGCGTTGCGTGCGAGTATCCTTGAGTCCCACTAGTGCCAGTAAGCTCGTGTCAAGTGAAAAAATATTCAAACTGAATATCGTTGCACCGCCCCTTTAAAGGGGCACTGACACATCAAAATCATATATTTTTTTATTGTTTGAAACGATTGAAAATGATGCTTGGACATTACCCTCAAAATTCGAAACTTGAGAATTCAGTATTTGTGAAGTAAAAACACGATTTCCTAATTCCGAATTTAAAGTTCCCAAGCGACCTGCGCCAGTGGAGCGACGTCAAATTTTGAGGGCTCTTGAGTCTAGTTTCTTTAGCGCCTCTGCTCCGAAACGTGTCTCCGCGACCCGAAGCAAGGAGCAAGGAGAGAAGGGTGCCGGCGTTGCGGGAACTACCGTACCGGGAAACCGGTTTCCTGCGCGAGTGCTGTGCTGCCTATCGCTTCGAGCAGACGACGGTGCCCCAGCGGTGTCACAACAGAAACTACGATACACAGACACCAAAACCCAGCCGTTTTGACCGTTTGACGATTTTCTTTTCGAAGTCTGAGAGGTTGTCGGGCACCTATAAAAGGCCACTTCGCCCGATTCCCCGACTCACCGATCATCCTCTGCTACATGCGTCGAGCGCCGCCATGTTTTCCAAGGGAGGATAAAAATCCAGAAGGAGACATCACAACAGACTCAGATTTTTGGCATTTCAAAAAGAAGGGCCGTAGTGCATTTGCAATTGCGTTAAAAAACATGTTTTACGATTGCCGCTATTAAATGTTATAGAACTGTCGCCTACAAAGCTTCTAAATTTCATGATTTTTGACGTCACCAATCAAAACAAGCAAGGAGGTGAGGAGCGGGAGAGTAAAACGGCAAAAAAAGGCATGCGGGCGCGTGGGAAATTTTTGTTTTGCGATGCGGTATTTGTTTTGTGTCTACGACTACAGTCAAACCCGTTTATAACGAACAGCAGGAAACTCTACGATCAGTTCGATATAGCAAAAACCATTTACAACAACATTCCACGATGTGTTTGTTGTACGGCGAGAGCTTCTCTCTTTCTCATCTCTTCACTTCCGCCTGGTAACCCCGCACTAAAACGTTGTTGTTGTTTTTTGTATGTGCGTGCAGAGTGTATTTTTTAGCTTTCTCCCCTTCTGAATCGCTTCTCATCACTCAATTTTGTTCACAACTTGAGCTTTTGGAATTTTCTTCCCTACTTTTTGGGGGGGAAGGAACAGGCTAGAAGACGATTGTATGCACGTTTTTGGAAGCCTTCCTGGAGGAAAAAGTTTGATATAGCCAATATATTGTTCGTTATAAAAAGTACTTTTTAGATGCATTTTTATTTAAATTTTCCGTGATTTCGATATCGACAATAATTCGCTGTACGTGGGTTTGTTCTAAACGGGTTTCACTGTACAACGTGCATCGTTTTAGACAATAAAAAAAATTTGGGGTGTCAATGCCCCTTTAAATTAACATTAGCATACCAAAGAATACCGCACATCTGCCCATTCTACATTAAGTGGCCTTTCTTAAATTTGTAAGACCTAAGAAAATATGTAGAGTACATTTATATGTAAAACTGATGACTACAAGAGTGGCCATCCCCCATTTTTTCCAGATTATCTCTGAAGTTTGAGCGGCTGCTTGCTAGTATTTTATGAAACTCCGTCATTCATAAAGTCTTTCAGAAATCAACATAATAAACTATCACGGAAAGAAAAAAAAATTCTTGTATAGTCCATGCCAGTAAATAGTTGGCCCTGCATAAAATTTAAACTTTTAGCATGTACACTCTGTGGATTACAGTCCAGAAAATATGGTACAATAACTGATAATAGTACTATTGACCATCAACCATTTTAAAAATACAGTCGAGCCCGGTCTTATCACACTCAAGTACATTTCGAATTATTTTTTATATTGAACTCCCATGGCCGGGACACTCGATATAGTGAACAAAGTCCGACCGCATCGCTTGCATTGCAGGGCTGGCAGACCGCCAAGCCAGAATACACGCGGCAAGATACACAGCAGCGAAAGAGCAGTTGTGTTAAAAAGAAAAAGACTGAACAGTAAACAAAAGGTGGAGGATGGCAAAAACAAGGGGAAGGGCACGCGCGCGCCTAGGGAGAGCAGGGAGTGCTTGCTGTGCGAACGGTACCTATGCGCCCTTTTCCTGAACACTGCTGATGCTACGCGACTCCCTATACTCCGCGACAACTTTTCTTGGCAATGCAGTGGAAGGTACAGGCCCGCGTCCCCTCTCCCATTTTGAGTGTACGCAGGCTCTCCTCCTTCCGGGGAGAGGAGGAGAGCACGTGCACACTCAAAATGGGAGAGGGGATGTGGGCCTGTACCTTCCACTGCATTGCCAAGAAAAGTTGTCGCGGAGTATAGCCCCAAAATAAAATGACCAAAAAAAAAGGTCTTCGTCAAGCTGGGTGTGTCACCACGCTTTTGCAATCGCACTTCACCTCCTTATCTTTTTTTACCTTTTCCTTTTGCTGCTATTGCTTTGTTCATTTTTTTTGTGCCGTTATTTTTGTGCTGCATGAATTTAGGAGCTTTCTTTTTTCTTGCTTGCTTAAAGGGCAATTCTGCTTCATTTTTGATATTTAGAAAACTATGTAGCCCTCTTCAGTATCGTAAAGGAAGACCCCATGTCAAATATTACGATCTAATTCCGTCTATATATTTAATAAACTGGCCAGCAAACCTTTAAGTGAGCCAAGTCGCCGAAATCTGCCAACTCTAGCGTGCGACGCGAGGCGCAATCGTCAGCGCAGTCAATGCGACGGAGTTGGAGCGGTTAACGTTGAGCCACTACGTCAGAGGCATGACTACGTCATTCTCACGTTTTGTTTCTTTTTACTTCTCAGAGCTAAATTGAACGATGACGTCACGAGTTTCTCCTCCCGGTGTTGGCTGAACGGTGTCCACGTGATCACCGTAACACGGATGCGCTAGCTTGCGCTACCCTGCGCGCTTATCAGTCCGTTTCTCCGCTCCCCCTTTCCTCCTTCGTCTTTTCCCCTTCCCCCTCTCCCCCGGGCCATCACCGTCCACGCCGTGCAAAGCGACCTGCCCACGTCGCATGTCCTGTCCCTTGCCCCCCCCCCGAATGTCACAAGACCACGTCGTTTGACGTGACATGGCCACGACTGACGACACGAGACCAATATTGCCTGACGCAACCGACGTTTCGGTTTCGGTATCAGTTGATGCTTAAATTAGGATTACACAAATAATATTCTACATTTCGCGAATCCGAAGACTTAGAGCTGTTTAGTAGTGCTTTGTGAAATGGAATCACATGTAAGCCTAAATTTTTCGGAATTGAGCGGAGTTGCCCATCAACTTTTTTTATGTTTTTTTTCATCTGTCTCGCTTTTCCGTTTTTCTTTCATTTTTTTTTATTATGTTTATGTTTCGTCGCTTATGCTGACAGTGTTTGCGGACTCCGCCAACTACGCTCTACTGTATTTAGCGGCTATTGGATGCTCTATTTGTTGCAACCTTCGGCATTAGCACAGACGCAAGGAAATTTCAACTCGAGCCTAATTTAACATATTTTGCATATCAAATTATCGATATATCAAACTTTTTTTTGATCCCCTTTGAATTTGATATATCCGGGTTCAACTGTACTACAGATAGTTTACTATCAACTAGCAACTATTGTAAGCTATCGATAACTACTGATGGTCAACTATCAGAAAATATTGTGAGTTCACCACCGACCAGGAGCTATTCTAAGCTATTAAAAACTATCGACAGTCAACTATAAACGAATTAAAGATGTTTACAATTCTCTCTAATGCCGGATTAGAGAGCAGCTTTTGAGGAGGAGGTGGGGAGGGTACGGAGGGGAAGGTATGCCCCTGTTCCTTCCCCACTAAATTTAGCGAGGAAATTTTTCTGCTAAATTTAGCGCTAAAACTTCACCCTCCTGAAGTCACATGTGATGTCATGTGCGACGTCAAACGTGTCGTCACACGTGACGTCACGAGGGTAAATTTAGCGAAATATTTTTCCGCTAAATTTAGCGGGAATATTGGCAATGTTATATGCGTCTAACGTCACGTGACATCATGCATCACATACTTCCAATAACGATGTCACACGTGACGTCACGAGGGTTACCCTCACAACCCTGACCCTCGTGAGGGTAATCCCCGTAACCCTTGCAACGTCGCACGTGATGTCAATATGGGAAACGTCCCATAACGCAATGGCGACGCCGCTCAAGCCGGAAATGGGCGCTAAAGAGCTGTGCTCTAAAAACTGTCAATAGTTTACTATCGATAGCCATTGTAGCTATCGATAGTATACTACTATATAGATACTGGAATATTGTATAGCTACTGATAGTACCACAGTCTTTCAATACTACCATACTGGTCACAAAACTTTGGCCAGAGTTTGGTGCAAGGTCCACAGCTTCTGCTAGGGGTGCACTGTCCTCAGAGGGCATTTTCGTTTGGCCACTCTGCTCTGGGTGAGCTGCTCAAAATTCACAACCATGATTTGTTACACTTGTAGTTGATCACTGCATGCAAGCACCAGTCATTCTTTACTAATCTCTCATAAGCGAACCTACAAATAAGCTTTCCTTTTTGGATTGGCAAGCGAAAGAGGTGGTAATTGAGCGTACTGGTTCGCAGTGCCTCTACTTTTTGGCGCTGATCGTGCCGTTGCAGATTGACGGTGACGGTGGTCCTAAGGAGTCGTTTTGAGAGAAGAAAAAAAGTGCAAATGATAATACTTTAGAGATTGCTGCATACACGAAAGTGGGCTCTTGATCGAGTGTACAGAGCCCAAGACATTTACAGCGGCGAGAAGCACTGTCAATGCAATGATCTGTCCCTGCAATCTATGGGTGGCTCGTTTAGAGGAGGTTCGAAGTTCCGACACACTTCCCGGTCGCCAGATTCCCTGCAACGCTGGCCAGATCGGTGGTTCCGAGCCCCCTCATTGACGCCTGCGTCACGCACGGTCACGTACGAAACTCTCCCATGGAGTTACGAAGATGTTCCGTGACCAGTAGTGTATTGAGAGACTGATAGTACCGTTAATCCACCGTCACACAACTAATGATAGTACTATCAGTAGATGACCATAGTAGTACAGTTGTACGACAGTACACCATATTACTATTGATAATGCTACCGATAGTCAACTGGACAAAAGTTCCCGGCGGCGTCCAGTCACTCCAACATTGACTGGTGGTGCCTTCTGCAAACAAACATTACTAAAGCAAGGACCGTGGCAGAGAGGGGTAGGCCACCCACCCTGCTTGAAGGAGAGCTCGTCTGCCTCGGCGCCCTCGTAGTCGTAGAGTGCACGCACGGGCACCCCCGGCTCCCCGGTGTCCACCAGCGCATCGTTGGACTCCTCGTCCCAGTCCTCGTGGTCCTCGTCAAACGGGTTGGCCTCTCCTCCACGCCCGTTCCTGGGAGACACGGGACAACACGCTCACGCTTTCAACAAACACGCAACTCCAATGCCCCAAAAGACATAGTTGTTTGTGTTTACACCACCATAAAATGCTGCGCATCCGCCCCCATTCTACGCTAAGCACCCATTCCTAAATTTTAAGATCTGAGAAAATATACACAGCACAATTATATGCGAAATTGATGAACGGACAAGCGCCCATCCCTTATTTTTTTCGCGATTATCTCCGAATTTTGAGTGGGCTCTTGCTGGGTATTTTGTGGTAGTTAATGAGAGGTTAAGAGTTTAGGGGAAGCTCCTCCCACCTCTCTTCACTCTAGCAGAGTGAGTGACCATTGGAGAGGAGGTTGCATCCACTCCAGCGTTTGCTTTGCTAAGGTGAGAAAAGGTGGGAGGAGCTTCGATTTAACTCTAACTCTTAACTCTGAGGTTGGCCTCAAAATTACAATGAAAAAAAAAAAAAAAAAAAGATCTTATTGAAAAATGTTATATTTATGTTCAAAAACTTAAAAAAAAATGGTTTCAAAATCTCATTTAAAAAAACGCGGGATTTATCTCGCAAAAAGTCAAGCAGGGAGAAAGTTTTTACATTTCTTAATTAGGGCTGCTTCATGCTCGTTTAACTGTAACCAAAACATCTCGCCCTCATTGGAAGGGTCACTGATTTCCCAAGTTTCCCAAGTTTAGAAGTACCACTGGCCAGAAGAACCCCATACAATCAAAAAGAAAAAGTGCAGAAAATGTATGGACTGAGTTATCTTATCGGTTAAGACCCGAAGTGGGGCTTACAATTGGTCCTGCCAAGGTGTTGCGACATTGTGTTATCTTCTGCAGCTTACTTTTGACAATACCTTCCACTTCAGATCATATTTGCCGCTTTGCCAGTTTTCCTTAGTATCACTTACCTTAGTTCTCAACAGTTTCTATGCCGAGGACTGCCCGCTACCGAAGTTATAGCTCGCCCACAAATGAAACAGGCCGGTACTTATTGCAAGGGGAACAAGGAAGTCTCAAAAAGCAACGTGCTACCTATGCTCCAGGAAAATTTTGTGTGCCTGCGACTCAAAAAAAGTAGAGAAACCTAAAGTTCAAACTCCAAATGCATTTTTCCCAGTTTCACTTTTTGTTAGGAAATGCTGTATGAAGAAATGTGAAAATGGACTATTTTAAAGTGTAAAAACCTCAGTCAGGGGTGTCCTGAACCGAAATTTCCTAACGAAGAAATTAAAGTACCCATTCTTATAAAACTCTCCTTCCTAATGAGAACCAAAAAACTTTTAAACATGCAAATTTATGAGAATGTTTTGTCCATTTTGAGTGCTATTGTTTTCCTCTAGAATTACATTTTCTACACTTAATTTTTACCTTAATTGCACTACGAGTATTCTACCGCACATTAAAACAAACATTTGTGGATTGCCATTATTTTTGTTTAATATATCTTCTACTCAAGCAACTTTTTTCTGGAGCTTAATAAGCCAGCATGTTGTAGGAATGACTGAAACTTCAATTTGAGTGAAAGGTTTTTAAAGGGATCATGAAATGACCTTTTTACTTTTTCCAGATAACTTTTACATTAAACCGTCAATGTTCACTGAATGATGAACAGGCTTCCGTTTTCGTCTCGGTTTATTAACTTCTACACAAAAAATTATTGAAATATCGACTTTTTCATTCTCTCCAACTGACCGCAAAAGAAGCCGTGACGTAGGCCGTTTCCGGAACCGGAAGTTCTCTCGGCAGTAGGAGAATGGGAGTGTTAGCGGCACCGAGTTGGGGTGCGCCGGTAGGTCTTACTGCGCTGATGTCACCGACGTATTTCCTGAATCGGCGCCTCTCATCGCCGCATCGCAGCTGATATATGTTGCGCTACAGCGACAGCATGGGACTAGTCCCATACGCCGGTATGCTTGTTAGGAAGTGCAGCGAGTCTTCCGGTGAAGACTTCAGAAGTCAACCACCCCGTCATTGTTGGCAGAAGGGCCGGCCCGTGTCAGTCGTTTGCAAAGCGACGTAGATGGCGTTTTTCGCGGCCTCGGAGATGCAGGAGCGAGCCGACGTTAAAAAAAGATACGTTTGAACTACGAGTGTCAGCAAGAGCCACGTAAATACCTGTTTACACTCGGAGCGGACGCGCGCGCTTGATGGAAGTCTTGTATTCGCGCTGTTTGTAAGCGCTTCGGGACCGTTCTTTTACGATTGCAACTCGATACTGACGCGACAATCGGCAAAGAAAGGTTGGACCGGGGTTGTACGTATACCTCCCACGAACTGTTATAGCTCGACAGTGACATGCAGTCTGTCAGAATAAAAATGGCATACCAATAACAAAGTGTACATACCGTGTTACGAAGGTAATCCATACGGCGTTTATTTCAGCTCTATATCACACAAGAGTAAAGCTATACGCACTCCGGAGTGCGCTTCGCGCGGAAATGGCTATATGCACTCCTCCGAAAGATCATGCCGCTCGGGCCACAATTCGAACGGCGCGTGAATCACTAGGGCGCTCGTTAACACAGCCCCCCGCCTGCGTTCACGCCGCTTCGCGGCGACAGTATCGGCTGCTAATTACAAAGCGTAACCAGTACACGCTGCTTCGCGGCGTCCAGCCGGCAATCCAAGCCCCGCTGTCCCCGATCGCACCTCCGGAAAGGGAGTCCGATACCATTTAGTTCTGCAAAGTTTCTCGACAACATTCGATTCTTTTTTTTTTTTTTTTACTGTTCATTGCAAAAAAGGAAATGTCGTAAATATCGCCAAATGCCTCGACAAAACAAAACGTCTGAGAAAAAAAAAAAAAGAGTAGGCCCACCGCGGATCGAACCCGCGTCCACTTGCGTATGAAGCGGACACCCTAACCCCTACGCCATGGCACCGCTTAGAAAACGCGTTGTGTCCACTCTTTTTATACGAGAAAAGCGGAGTGCGTATAGCCATTTCCGTCCGAAGCGCACTCCGGAGTGCGTATAGCTTTACTCATCACACAAAACAAGAAGATAGAATCGACGAGAGTCCCCTTTCGACGAGTGTTCGTCAACACTGCCTCGGAAAACAAGGGGAAGAGATTGACCTCACCTCTTAATCTAGAATTGAGGTCAGTGATCAAACTATAATACGGGAAGGGTCCACAAAGGTCGCGCGGGCATATTCCATTTAGCACGCCTGCCGATCGTAGGCAGACAGTCTTGCGACGAAGCAACGCAGCGCCGAGTCGGAATGCCTGCTAGGCCTATACGCTTCGTCGGAGTCGGTGGATCCAGCATTCTTGTTCGTCGTGGTCTGTTTTAAGTACTGTTTTCTTGCTGCTTGAAGTCGGCACGCGCGGGAAGAACACGTAGAAAAATAAACGTTCAGTCAGTCAGAGTTTTGAGAGGAAGGAAAACAAAGAAAATAAACGTTCGTCGCTGGCCGCCAAGCTGGCCGCCACCCAAGTAACTGTCGTAACTGTCGACCCTGCCCTACAGCCCCTACTGCGCATGCGCAGTAGTTGCTTCGTTTACCACACGATAGATGGCGCCTGGCTCTCAGCATTATCAAATTTGGCAATTTTCGCCACACATCTCTAATTATGCTACAAAATGTGGATCTGAATATTATTTAACAAAACTTTTAGGAAACATTCGGCGGCTATTTATTGTTTACGATCGCGGTGCTGGCGAGGTAGGCTCTTACCCAATAGGCGACCTGGATTTGGCTGACGTGCTCCATTTCCGCGGATGCATCGTAGTGAACAGGCGAAGGAACCGAAGGAAGGAAGGCGCAAAAGAGTCCAGTTTTCTTTTAGAAGTTCTATAGCAAATAATTTTTTTTGGCTCCCTATTTTTGTGTTTTTGTGTTTCTTTTCACACCTTTTACGATGTGCGGTGGATGAAACTCGATTTTAAAATCATTTCATGGTCCCTTTAAGTTAACGCTCCCGGGCCATAACTCCCCTTAACCTGTCCCCGACTATAGATAGCGCACGGCCGGTCTGCCTATGAGGTATGGTGACACTGGTCTACTCTGCAGATGAGAAATTTAGCCAATGCAGCACCACTGCTTGCCTGTGGTCATTAACACGCATCATGGAGTGGCGATACACGACCGCACGCGGGTACAATGCTCCTTCAAGTCGAAGGGGCAGAGGTGGGGGTTGAACCCAGGATCCCATCTGCAAAGTGGCATTTAGACGCCGTACGCAAACATCTTTTTTTTGTTTGAAATTGATTATAGGGGCAATAAAACAATATTGGACTTGAATGTTACACCGTGCAACACTGAATGCCAACATGATGTTGGCACTTTTTTACATTTTACCCCAAAAAGAAATTGGCACGAGCCAAACTTTACCCCTTAGGTTAGTGTCCCAAATGGGCACTTCCCACCAAATTAGAAGTTTTTATGGGGGATGGGGGGTGGGGGTCGGTGGTTAAGTGTTTTAGTGCACTGCAAGTCTGAGCACATGGAGCAAAAACTTGCGCTGCAGAACCCAGGGATTCCGGGTTCAATCTCCCCCCCCCCCCCTCCCCGTTTTGATCTGGATGAGCATAGTACTGGCGCGAGGCACGTTAAAGACCCCCGGCCAGCAGTCGTACTCCACTGGCTAAATTTCTGACCTACAGCGTAAACCAGCGTCGCCACACCTCAAAAGCAGACCGGCCTTATGCTGTATAACCCTTTCAAACACTGCCCGCCATGTAAAAAAAAAAAAAAATTTTCTTTACAACTTTTGGTTGCCAGGCATATTCTAGTACTATAGAATTCTGCCAAAATTATTATAACGACTCCAATATGCAATGCACCCCCGGAAAAAAGCGCGAGTCTTAAATGTACTGTACGCAGCAATTGAAAAGGATAAACACAAACGTCAAACTTAGTTTTTCGGCGTGCACTTTCGAAAAAGCTCCCTGAAGGGCACGGCGCCACGCACGTGTTGTTGTTGTTGGCTGAGGGGTTGTTGCGGGCGTTGAGGGCGGCATGGTTCGATGCTGTGCCCCCGTCCTTGACGTCCTTGTCCCTCTTGGGGCCCGAACCAGCCTTGGGGGCCGTGGCCACGGGGGCGCCGTCTGCCCGCGTGCTCACGCTCGTCAGGGTGATGCCCCCTGCGTCCAGGGCTTTCTTCTCCTTGCGGTGGATCTGCTGCACCTCGGGGGTGTACTCCTGCAACGTGGCCCGGAACGGGGGTGTCACGCGAATGCTCTTGAGGGGGGGGAGGGGAGTAAAAGTGCAGTGGGCCCCAATGACCGCACTACCGCACTCTGTCCACCGCGCCAGACGCAGTCCTGCGGCTCGCACGTCGTACGAAAAACGCAAAGTTCTCTGCGGACGCGACGACAATCATCCGCTTCGTACGCGAGTGCGCTTCGAACGTGTCTGCAAACGGCTTTTGTACGACCGACGTGACGGGACGGGACTGTCGTAATAGGAAGAAACACCTCTGACAGCGTCAGCAGACTGCCTTTCGTACGACGTATTGGCGGCGTGACTGCGGCTTCTAAGCCGAGGCTGCATGCCAAAACTAAGAGCGAGAGACCTCGCTCTGAAACGTTTTTCCGCAGAACGTGCACTCCCGCTAGAGAGGCAGTCCTTGAAGCGGGGAACACGGGCTAGCTCGCAATTGTAGCCTTGGCAATGGTCTCCGATCAAAGATGAATGCAGCACAGCGTACTCTCATAACCGAGGTTTTTCTCCGCGGACGGGATTAAAAATCGTCTAGGTTATATGTGCCATGTCACGAATGTAGGCCGGTTCCCTGAGCTTTTCCTTCCCTCATCTCTATGACACATTGCTTTCTGCACAGATAAAAGTCTTATGAGAATACGTGGACCGTAAAAACGTGCGTGGAATGAATCTACTCTATCTTTGCATCATGTCCAAGACGCCCGAGTCTTGGCAGCGATGCAAAAAGTAGTGCAGACCTTATAACAGTAATACACACACACTATATTCCGTTCAACGTTCAGCCAACGTGGCATTGAAAGCTACATGCACAACGGACCGATCAATCGCTTGTCTTCAATTTTCTGACCACACCCCCTGTGACTGAGTATGCACAGAAAACTTGATGGCACTGGGCCAAGTGTCTCAGCGCAGGTGGGATGCTAGTTTCCGGTTTGGGATTTTTTTTTCTGCCCCATCGTTTACCGGCTTCCTTAGGCCGATTCACAGCAACTGACTTCCAAAATGCTCTGTGGGAACGACGCAGAGTATTTCGGAAACAACAGCACCACAGATGGCCGCCGAGCGACTGTCATATTACTGGTTCTGTCTGCCAAGGGCCTCAAGTTGTATTGGCACGCGCCCTCCAGCATTTCTGCCACCGCTGCCCGCAGTTGCCAGGGACGAGCGAGAACATTCACACAGAAAGGGCATGCGAGGACACAACCGCATGCAGTATTAGGGATCCACAGGAGACCAGAGGGGACGGACATGCAGCCAACCAGGACAATCCTACTGCACCTCGACCCATTAGTAGCACAACTCAATGGTATCCCAGCGATTGAATGTGTTCAACTTTCAATAAGTGACAGAACGCACAGTAATTTATAGGTGTTCGAAAAAATTATTTAGCAACGACTGCAAGACTTTTTAGAGGCACAACTTGATGGGATCTTATTGAGCGAAGATATTCAACTTTGAATGATTGACAGAACACATAACTATATAGGTGCATCAGGAAACAGTGTTATTCAGTGACCACCAGAAAAAAACAAGAGGACCTTCAAAACTTCAAGAAGCCATTCTTCTCGTAGTCCAGTTGCCACTGATTTGAAAGCAACACCTTAAAATTGCATTTGCATTGCGCTCAGGACATTCTCTTTTCCTAACTTAACTCTGCCTGGTAAGATAACCGCTGCCATGTTTCCTAGCTTTTACTTGTTTTCAAATCTTGGGGGTGCATGTCTAGCGGTTGCCACACGTTTTGCTCATCCAAGTGCGACGGCACTGTCTTGCTACATGTGCGCATTAATATCCAAAACATCGGCCATAAATACAGTTTGTTTTCATGACTGAGCCAGTCATGAAAACAAACTTTATGGTCCATGTTTTGGATATTAATGTGCACATGTACTAAAACAGTGCCATTGCACTTGGATAAGCAAAACGTGCGGCAACCACAAGACGTTCACTGACACTGCAAGACATTCATTTCGAGCATTTCCCACACTTTATCAACATGAGCCTAATAACATGGCAGGTAAAGCCCACATGTACATGGACTTGAAAAAATGCAACTAACGCACTAATGATGTGCACCATGCAGCTGCTAAACATTCTATTGGTGGTTCTACGACTCTCTACGATCGCTTCTACAGTGCTACGAGTGGCGAAAGGGGTCTTGTTTGTGTCACTATTTGAAGTTAATACTAGACAATACCACTATCAGCACAGCCAGATTATTGACACTTTGAAGGGTCTACTTTGTTACAGATGCATGAAAAAGAAAACAACAAGCCTCCTTTGTTAGCAACAAGTAGTAGTACAGACTTCATCAGCGCTTGTTTCCAAGTGCACTGGCAGCCATAGACCGTCACCAAGCCACAACACATTCACGGGCATTCTACGACGATCAACATGCAGGCAGTCCAGAACAAGGCCGTCTTCCTAGAGAGGGCTCAAACACATGTGCGAAAAAAGGCCCGGCACTACGGCCATGTTCTCAAATTTACTCCATCTCACTTCTAAGGTTTCACACCCTGCCGTTCGAAAACCTACTAGCATCTGGTGTTGTTCCACCCGTGTTATCAAAGAATATAACCTGCGAGATTAACTCTGATCTAATCTAACAAGGTTTGCAATGTACCTAGTTTATGTAAAGACTGAAAAGCGGGGTAATGCTTGACCAAATCTTTTCTCAGAAAAGTGCTTTGATGAGGAACGCTTTCTACTGGGACCCCCGAATTGTTGGCGGATTTTAGAAACCTCCAGAAAAGCCGGCTGCAAACAGGCTCAAGGAAGGAATGATGCAATCTTTGAGCTGGCTAAAGCCGTTGAGACTTGAGCCGGCTTGATAATGTACTTTGCATAAATGTATACGTAACAAATAAAATTAATTTTATTCTTCTGACACAATAACTGAAAAGCAACTTATTTCTCCCGAAGAACAAAAAAAAAAAAAAAAAAAGAAATTGCGTAATTGTTTGAAGGCACGACTCAATATTTGTGCTGTATTACAGCTTTTCTCCCTGTGTAGCCTGCAAGGTTCAGAGTATTTAAAACAACTAAATAAAGCTTGCAAAGGTCAAGGCAGGAAATTCTGGAATATATTGACAGACTCTAAATAACAGATGCTCATTCTAGTCTATTTTTTCAAAATATGCTACCTAAAAGTAATTGAATATCTAAAATCTGGGACAATCTCAATGACTGATAAACTTGATGGCAGATGCACATTCAAGCCCATCTTTAGAGATATATCCAGAAACAATTCAAATAACATAAAACACAAGACAAATATGAACTTCGTGGTGATAATTTCTCCATGTTGCTCATGACGAAAATGGTACATCACAACTTTTTTCAAGCTGCAAGTTTCGTCCGACTTTGCACCCCCCTTTTTTCGCACATGTGTACCGGGCACCTCGAGACGGTGCCTCCACCTAGTGTTAGTGGAAGGGAACCCCAGACAACTATCACAGAGAGAAGAGAAAGATGTTAGCCGCAACGCCGTCGACAGCCGCCGACCCTGCAAGAGCAGAAACCAGTTGAGCAAAGACAGCTTGGAGGCACTTTTGTCTGGTGGGCACAAACACTGCACAGATGTGACTGCACTCGAGCACCAAAAGGGGCGAGTGCCGCTCACATTTCGAGGGCTACGACGCACCCCAGAACACTCTTGTGACTCGGGGAGCAGAGCTGTAAAGGTCACTTAAAAAGCAACTGAACTTTATGATACAGTGTTGCTTTGTTACTCAGAAACGTAAGGCACTCCTTTGAGCTACTGCTCAAACGTCCCGTACGCAGAACACATTAGCGATGTGTAAGCAAATCTGGGCAGCGTGACATTGCATGGCACGGTTACGGGACGTCGTGTTACACCATTGTGGTGTCTCGTCAGAGCACAATATGACGCCGTAATGTCCCGTGAGCCGGTGAGACCCTATGTCGACTTAGTGGTCGAGCAACCCATATTAGCACGAGCCACATGATTATGACCCACACCTGGTGACCTGCTAAATTTACTTGACAGCACCATACGGCAACACAAAACTTTTTTGATGCATTCTGCATTCAAAACTAATGTGCATTTCTGTTACTTTTACGGCATCCAGTAAATGTTGAAGTTTACAGAAAATGCTGGTTGGTTAAGCATTTACTATGGAAAGTATGCTGGTACAGTTCCGTATTGACTCTGGACATTGTTCACGGCAGAGACTGAGGTAAAGACAACACACAGCGCCGACGTCGAGACAAAATCGCCGAGTGTTTACGGATTCGTCGGCATAATTTTGAGATGTAACTGCAACCGAACTAAGTCACAATTTACAAGTTCCTCCGAAACCGAAAGTAAGTCAGTTACTGAAATTTCACCAACGTAGGGACCATCTAGTTAATGGAATTGTAACTAAATAAACAAGTCGCATGCTTTTTAACGAGTCACTTTACAGCTCGGCTCTTAGGACAGACATTTCAGTCCTTGTGGTGAAAGAACACAGGGAAAGGTGGGAGAAACCTTTCCGAGCAGACGGGAACCGCAAGAGGGGGGGGCTGGCTTAAACGTTCCACACGGCAGGCGTCCTCAACGTGCGGCATGTCGTCCCGTGGGGCGATTAGTTTCGTCCGTTTAAACGCAACGCATAAACCGGTTGCCCGACACTGAAAGCTGCAATTTCCAAGAAAAAACATAAGGCAAAGGTTTCTGCACATTTGGACCTTGGAGGCACTGCACGGGTGAAGGACCGTAAATAAAACCCATTTTTTGCCACTACGTCAAGCTTTCTCTTTTTCCATGAAACAAAAACTTGTACTTTGCGCCGCTCAGGCATTTGTTGCGAGTAAACCCCGAGAAGGTCAAACCATCTATCTCCCTGGTTTTTCGGTTAGTGGCTTTCACAGTTTTACAAAGATGAATATTGCTTCTTTCCAAGTTTGCTTTCAAACTTTGACGAACTGTCACCACAGGAGTGGCATTCTTAAAACTGTGCAGGGACTGCCATTGTTGTCGCCAAATCAAAAAGCAAGCCGCACGGTCACTTGCTTCGGTCGCTGCTGTCAAGGCAAATTACCGTCGGAGGGGCGCGCTCGCTCAACACCTAAAGGTGTATTCACACGAGGGAGAAATCCCGGGGATTTCTCCACGGCACGCGCATCCCACGACGAAAACGTCAGGCTTTGCGGTGTGCAAAAGCCTCAAGTTTTCGTCTCGTGATGCGCGCGTGCCGGGGAGAAATCCCCGGGATTTCTCCCTCGTGTGAATACCCCTTAAATAATAGAGCTGTGAAGTTCGACTTCCTGCATCACCTACCGGCGGCCAGCGGCCAGTGTTCAATTGCCGCGTGCGGCTGGGACTTACGTTTAATTAGTGATTGGACATGAGTCAATCAGATTAAACATGAGCCAATTGGTAAGTGATTAAGTCAATTAGTGATCGAACACCAGCCAATCAGCAATCCAATACAAGGCAATCGGCGATTGAGCCCGAGCTAATCGGCAATTAAATGAGAGTCAATTGGCGATTGGACGCAAAGAAATCGGCGACCGGACACAAGCCTCGGCCACACACCACGGGAACAGCACAGCTCTAAGGCCCTGTTATCTGGGAGGTGATGGTGATGATGGCATTGAAGGAAGAAGAAAACGTCGGTCATTATGCGCCCGTGCCAGCCCCCTTTGGGAACGGGAGAGGGAGGAGGAGAGGGTGCTTTACGGGCAGCTCTTCGCCAATCTTGTGCTGGTTGACGAGGGTGATGCCGCTCTCCGGAATGGCCGCCTTCTTGCTCTTCCCGACGATGTCCCGGAATTCCTCGGAGTACTCCTAGTCAAGGGGAGACACGGGGTTGGCAGACAAGCACACACAGGCAGGGGGGGGGGGGGGGGGGGGGTTCTTACGCCCCCCCCCAAATGCCTCCCAGACGGTTACGCCCAATCTTCCAGTCAACGTGCTCGGCTGCACTACCGGCGATGAGCCATGTTCCATTCACGCCTAAGCCGACAGCGCAGTGGGAACTATAGGCTCGCTGGACTAATCAACCGCCTCCTTTTTGTCATCCAACCCTGCTGTCCGAGCGTGGGTACAGGCGGGGGCGTGATCAGGTGCCAAAAGATAGACGTACAACCAGTCTAATAAGTACGTGGCTTCCATCCAGACAGTTAAGTAGTTACTTCTACCTAGTTACTTTTTTTGGTAACGAGTAACCTATTTAGTTACTTCTTCTGGAAAAGGAACAAGTAACATACTTAGTTACTTTTGAGGCCAAGTAACAAGTAATGGTATTTCGTTACTTTTGAGGAGTGACGCGTACAACACCGTTCAAACAGACTCCATTTAATTCTAACAAGGGTACGAGTCTATTACGACAAAGGCAGATGGGCAACCCGAGAAACAACTAAACAGAATGACAGTATAGCAACGTTTATCGCTGAACACGCCAGTCGAACTCTACAGCTGCAAATGTCGTTCACCCAGAGAACGCAAGAAGGTTCGTTGGTTGAACCTCCTAAAGTAATGTACAGACTAAATGTAAACCCGAAGGTTGCCAACATGAGAAGGCACAGAGCCCATCATCAACGTTGAACTTTTGAAGCAGAGAAAATGAAAGAGAGAGGGGAACCCCAGATTCACCAGCTCTTCCGGAAGCACAACACTGCCGTTCTTTCGAGCGCGTCAGTAGAACGACTTTTCAGCGTTGCCGGAAATGTATTTTCAAGAAAGAGGGGAATCTTAATTGAAGAATTCGTGGCAGCTGCCCTATAGTTCTAGTATGATCTACCTATTTCACGAAGTCTGAAAATTTGCCGTCGTCCCACTTCTTTATGAAACATGCAACTGAGTCTCTTGCTGTTTTCTTTTTTTGCACCGAGAAAAAGGAAGGCAACAAATCTTTCCCTTACTTGGCACGAAAAAATAAAAAGGTTAAACGACGTATATGCGTTACGTTTTGTGACAGTGTGAATTCCTCTCAAGCAGCGATGGACGGATACAAACAAAAATGTCAATCACGAGGACGTAGCCCACGGTACAAAGTCTGCCACAAGTGACTTCTCTAATAGCAATAGAACAAATTAACTGCAAGAGCACATTCCCTTTAACTTAGTGTACCGATGTCATTTTGTCTCCTGCCTACACAAATTTTGGCCGATTAAAATAACCCCCGTGACCCCGAGCCCCCCCCGACATCGAGATACTACCGCATTCGCGCGTTAGCGAACTTCTACAAAGATGTGACCTGGAAGGTTCGAACTGTAAAGCAAAAATACATCTAGCTAGGAATCCAACTCTTTTCCTTGCAAAACCTTTAGGTCAAATACCAGAGGCTGGGGGTAGGGTGAAGTGCACAAATCTCCGGAGAAAAATGCGTCAACCACAATAAACACGCATTAAGCGGACAGACATGGGATGCACACATCATGCATTACCTGCAATCCGGTGCCACATACTAAATGACACTGAGCCCAGTAAGCATTCCTTTGGCGTCCGAAGCGAATCAAATTGCGCATTGAGCAGCATAGCCAAGCAGGAATCCAAGCCAGCCAAAATATTAACGAGAGGAGAGGAGGTTTTCCGTCTAGGGACACAGCATTGCCGTGCCAGTTATGCAACACATGCAATATTTGCGCCCTGAATTTGCCATTCTCCATTTTTTTTTTGTTTATAGATACTACTTTTATTCCTTCAAAGAAATGCCAGAAGAGTGGCACAATATAAAAAGCACCCTCATCACGGTGAACCTACTAACAATCAACGTGTTGGATGAACACTGGTTCACATTATATGTGCAATCAGATCCCCAAGGTTGAGAAAATATTTTATGGCCACTGCATTTTTGGGGTTTCAGCATTAGGCATGCTCTCTCTCCACTGTTCATCCCGTGGTTTCAGACATTTTAAACTGGGAACAGTTTCAGAACCTGACAGTACAAGATTCTAATGGAACCCTTTTTGTTTGCCCAGAAATGCTGTGCAGACACCATTTATGCCTCACTTCATCTGACGCCGAACCAAACGTTTGCAAAAAAGAGAACACATCCGCTTCTGGAGATATTCGTGCAATTCAGCGTAGCTCACTTGGGTGCATATGCACTTGACAAAACCCTAAAATGAGTTTGAGTCTAGCTAGTGGCATAACCTCTACAGGAGCTTGCCAGGTCGATTCTGAAGGTTCCATGCAGGCCAAGAGAGTATAGAAATGCTCCGAGATGCAATCGGATTCACCGCAGGAACAAATTTGCCTTACGAAACACATTTTACGGGATACCTTTCATTGAAGAGAACATAGATTTGAATATAGTGGAAAACAGCCTTCCAACTTCACTTAAAAATGAAGCCTTACTTGAACCAGGCACCAGTATACATGTACAGGCTGCAGTTGACTGCCGCCAATCATTCAACCACCGGTTGTGTTGCATGGACTCTAGAGCCTCCAACCTGACCACACTCGCTTCCCACTCGTCAGTTGGCCCGCAGAGTGGTGTGCCGCGAGCTCACCTCAAACTGTGGCCAATTCATGGCCATCCCGACCCCGTGGTTGTTGGACCACCACTTGAGGTCCTTGGAAGCATCCGCATTCTGGATGGTGTGCCGATACTCCTCGTAGATCTGCGGCAGCCTGCACACAGTCATACACAGCATCACCCGCTGTAAACCTCACTTAGTTAGAGCAATCAGTCAGCTTCAAGCATTTATCTGAGCTACCCTATACAACCCACAGTCGAGAAAAATTCCTAGAAAAATCCGACGCCCATTCTGGACTGGAAATAAAAAAGCATCGTCCCCCAGCCCATTAGGTCTGTGACACGAAGGACATATAAGACGGGTACCAAGTTTGAGACACTCTGTCCCTACTTCCCCTTTTAGGCATTTCAGTCCTTGCTCCAGTTTCAGGTTTTTGGTATCATGGTAAACGTCCACCAGCTTGCATGCACTATAATTGTAGTTTAGCCACCAGGTATCTCCTGAATAAAATTTTAAGCCCCAAGTTATACTGTTAGTGCATGGTCGCTGCCCAATGCCCCGTCTGCATGTGTGCAGGAAAGATGGTTGGTGGAGAGATGGTTGTACAAAACGTGCCAGAATGCAACAATAGCATCTATATTGCCAGTTCCAAAAATAAAATGTGGACATTCCAAATTTTTTGGCTTTAGGTTTTTCGGTAACAGACAGCAAGGGTGGTGGCCTTTGGACGAATACGGCCTTTATGAGGAAAGTATACAGGGCACAAATACGGGGCATCTCCTTACGACCAAGTTGTTACCACAGACGCAGCGAGAGATAATGGGAAGCAGACATACTCTGGGTCTGTGGAGATGTTGAGGCAGGCGTGGATGCCAAAGAGCATCTCCTTGAAGAAGTGCAGGCGGCGCTGCTCAAACTCCTGGCACTTGTCGAAGACCACAGTCATGTCCTCCATGTACTTGGCATTGTACTCGTTGATCTCCTGCAGCGAGGCCTCGTAGCGCTCGCGCGTGCGCTGCACCTCCTCCTTGCAGCGCTGCACGCGGTCCTGCAGCTTCTTCACCTGCATGGCAGCACCCACCCGCGCACAAAACACCTAATCACAACCGGGAACTCGTCAAACTTAAAACAACGAGGGGTCTGGGATTGGCCGTTTGGTGTACCCACAGGCACACCAGATGTCCAATCGCAACTGGGCGCTTGACGAACTTGAACAACTAGGGTGCTCCCGATAGCGTTCGGGTGTTTGGTGCACTCACCTGTGCACCAAACACCCGATCACAACCAGGCACTTGTTGAAACAATAAGGGGGCTCCTTTGTAGCAATTCGGTGTTCAGTGCACTGAGCACGCGATCACGAGCAGGCACTTGCTAAACCCAAAACAATGAGGGGTCTCCGATTGAGCCTACGGTGCCTGTGCACCAAACACCCTACCACAACTGGGGACTTGACAAACTTGATTGATGAAGGAACTCCTGATAACGATTGGCTGTTTGGTGTATGCATCAAACATATAGTCACAACCGGGCGCAAACGAGAGCATTCACCGCAGACTGAGGGAGACAGAGACCTGGTCCGGGGACAGAGACGTGTCGGCCCCTGCGTTGCGTTCCTGGTTAGTGGCAGAGCGTTCCCCCTTGCATGCCGCATGGTAATCTGTCCGTGACCGGTCCACCTTGGCCAGTAGCTTGGCCCAGGGCTTCTGGGCCTTCTTGAAAGCTTCGTCCAGTTCCCGCCGCTCCCGCAGTTGCATCATCGACCGGTGGAAGTTCTCCTTCTGCCAGCCCTTCACCTGTGTACCAGAGGTTGAAATTTTGGGTTGAACTCTTTATTGTATAGAAATGTGAAATGTGTTGTTTTTTCTCTTTTTTTTTTCCTGTAACCACCCTGAACAAAATGAAAAGTATTAACAAATAATAAGTAAACTCACAACCACCTCAAAACAAAGAGAGCTGTTCCCTCACCCTCAAACTCACCACTAGAACACAAACTTCCACCTTCATGGCTGAACTTCCTTTCAGACTCACCAATCACCCCACTAGATTTTACTTCTGGAGTACCTCAAAGAAATGTCCTGGGGACGCTATCGTTTTTAATCTACGTCAATGATATTATTTTTACTGTTGTCCCGGACGTAAGCACGAGACTACTTGCGGACGATTGCGTATTATTTAAAGATATAACACGCACCAATGATCAAAGCACACTAAATATGAGTTTGCATTATACAGTCTAATCTCGTTAATTCATACTCGAGAGGGAAGGAAAATTTGTGTGAATAAAGCAAAGGTTGAATTACCGGGAGCTTCCTCCCATAGAGACACATAGGATGGGACCAGCATGTTAGTTTGAATTATTCACAAGTTTGAATTAAGAGAGTTTGAATTAACGAGATTCGACTGTATACAGGATTGGTGTGATTATTGCAAGATGTCCTTGAATCTTGAAAAAACTGACTCTTAGAATCACAAATTAAAAGAAGCCTCTTTCTTCTCAGTACGATATTAAGGGTTATAACGTCGCTGAGGTAGATCACTACAAGTATCTTGGGCTGATAATTGACAAGAGTGAACTTAAACATATAGATAACATTACATCTGCTGCTTTTAGAAAGCTTGGTCATATTAGTCACAAACTAAAGAACTCACTAAACAATGTCAAATGAATAGACTAAAATACGCTCATGAGATCTAAACTTGAATATGGAAGCATAGTGTGGAATCCTTTTGTTCAACGCCGCGTGGGCTGGGCGGTATCAAGCGATAGATAGGCGATGGCACCGGTGACTCTCGGAACCAACCAACCCTTATTCCCCAACTTTCCCTTATATACATAGGCGATGCACACCTAGCGCCATCTCGGGAATCTGAAGCTAAACCTGGCAACATTTGATTGGCGACCCCTACACCTTTTACTAAAAAAAGACAGATAAGCTAGAAAGAGTTCAAACATGGGCAGTTAGATTTAATTAGTGAATTAAGCGGTTGGACTCTCCTTCCTCCCTGATGCAAATGAACAATATTGAATTGGTGCAGGAGCGAAGGAAAATAGCAAGGCTTAGGTTTCTGTTTGTTCTCACAAATGATAAGCTTTCTATTATTGCAACGCAAATCTAAAACAGATCACCGCTAGACAGACCAGACCTCACCAGCCACGTGACCCGACTCCTCGCTTTGCTCGCACTAACCTTTTCAAATTTCTTTTTTTCAAGGATGATTAATCATTGGAATTCCCTTCCTCCTGAGGAACTTTCCTCTTTCCAATTCACGATTGCATAGGTTTCTTATTGCTACTTTACGTTTTGCTCCCGGTGGCTTGTTGCGTTTCTGTACAATCTTGTTTTTGTTGCATTTTTGTCGAAGATTTTGTGGTGTGCATTTTCTGGTAATGCGGACAATATATTTGGTTCTATTCACTCACTGCTGCTTGGATTATCATGGTCTGCACTATGTCATAAATTATGAACAAAACCAAAAAACACTTCCTAAATGACAAGGCCGTAGTCCTTTCCCCAACTACCAGAGGTCGGCACGAGACCGGACAAGAGCACCACGTTGGCACCACGCCGATTCGAGCGCCAATTCGAGTGCTGAAATCCACTCCCCATGCCAACCTCCCGCGGGCAATGCGGGGAATCCGGCACTAAGGCACCGTTGTCCAGGAGTCGCCGACCACGACGCAGAAGGAGAGTGCGGAGGGGCAAACCTGCGGCACGACGTCGTTGAGCAGGCGGTCCCTGACGCGGAGGTGCATCTCGCAGGTGCGCTCGGCCTCGAGCAGGGCCCCCTTCCAGGCAGCCTCCGTGGTGCCGTACTCGGGCCCCTTGTCGATGAGGTCCGCCCACTTGCGTGCCCAGGCCCTGAGTCCCTTGGCGTAGGCCTTCTCCACCTCCGACCGCTCCTGCACCAGCTGCACCAGGTCAGAGCAGAGCCGGTGGCCATCCTCCGTGCGCTTGCTCGTGCGCTTGTAGTTGCCGGGCTCCCAGAAGCTTTCGCTGCCAGCCACTAGCAGGGCCTCGTCGCTGTGGTGAGACATGCCGCCCACACCTGCAAAGAAGCCACCCCTCTTCAACACTCCGTTTCGCTCTGAATCCGATAGCAGACGATGCCACAATCCATCGGGGTCGATCTGGCTGCACTCAAAGTGCACTTGTCGTTTCACTTAGTCTGCTGTCAAGTGATGGGGGAGACCTTTTGCACTGTTAAAAGTTGTCTCATTGATCATACGAAAAAAAGTGCTCATACTGTCCACTAAACAAATGTGCAAGAGCATGGCCACAGTGAACCTACGTAACGAAAATGTCCTCGGTGACCCTTATAGTTAGGCTAAGTTAATGTTTGTGTTCCTTCCAGTTTGAATTGTGCTCCATTTAATGTGCCTGTTCGTCGCTGCTGCGGCATTCGATTACTTCCATTGCGGAAATGCCGATATATCCGGTGACTTGCCAAGTTCCCATGAGCAGTTGGGAAAATTTAATGTTGAGGTAGAATTTTCTGTGCGAGCACGATTTCAGAAGGGGGGTTCAAAACCCCCTTCTGAGACGTGTTACCTCCCCCGTCTCCAAAACCTTCGGCTTTCAAAAGAACACTCAGAGGCACTCTCCATACTGGCTTACCCCGCTTGCTCCCACCGCTGCCGCCCCGCCCCGCCCCCCCCCCCCCCCCCCCCCCCCCACCTCCCCCCAATCCCTTGAGTCACATTATCGCTCGACCTTGTGTGGCCGAGTCCAGAACAATGCAATTCTGTGCATTGTTCGAATATTGAGGTCGGAGAGTTTGACACACGACTTCAATTTCTACAAGAAGTGGAGTTGGGCTACTTATTGTAACAGCTTAAAGGGGCCCAGCAATCATATTTAAGCGTCTACCTTTTTTGAGGTTTCCACGTCTCTTGGGGTTCGGGCAAGCCAGCGGGCACGGAGAGAGTAACTAAATATCAGTGCGTCGTATTTTAACCGGACAACGCGGAAACCTCCCCCACCGACGAGGGCGACCCGCGGTACCAAAAGCGCGCAAAATGTGACGACTTTGGTCCTGGGCTTACTACTGGTCAGAGCCGCTAAAAGCTTTTTTTTAGTCGAAATACAAAATATACGTGGTGCGAATCGTTTCAGATATGTATAAATGTAGTTTTTGTTCAGTATTTTAGATCAGAAAAGAAATGAATGCAGTTTATAAAGTACGGAAACAAGAAATTACTCGTTGACATACCAACCACCAAGCGGTGGAAAAGGCAGCGCATACTAGAAAGGATTAGTGGGATCAGGCGCCGACACGAAAAGGTCCCTTATGTACGCGGCGGCACTGCGGTCGTATGGACAGGAGGATCCAACTGGCTCCGAGCGTTCCAAAGGCCTTTGGCGAGAAGCTTTGTCTCGCGGTTCGGCCGTTTCGCGGTATGGCAGCGCGAAGTGGCTCGCATTCTGAACTGATCTTTACCCCGTGTTTGCTGTCGTTTGTGGCCAATAAAGTGTCATGCCGAATTGGTGTTTAATCGCGCAACAAATGCAATTAGAGCCGCTCTGGCTGCCCGCTGCATACAGCCTATCCAGAACATGCTTTAGTGGCGCCCTCCCGCGCCGTCGACACGGTGTGCGGCAGCCGTGAGCGCTCGCGATGAGCCCACTACCCCTCCTCTAGTTCACGGCCGCTCAAGCAACCAAGGACGTCATGAGGGAGGTTATTTTCTGCTTGTTTCTGTAATTTTAAGGGGAAACACTACCCAAAAAAAATCTATTTCTGCAAAAAAATTTGTTTTTGAAAAATGTTATTCGCATTTCCAATTATTTCAAAACGATAGTTTTCCTACACAGACACGCCCACTTTCATCTTTGAACATTTGCCATTTGTTTTGTGCTTCACCCAGGTTAACGAAATTCGGCACAAATGTTCTCAACATCAACAGAAACAAGCTCTGTAAATGTCATTTAGATCAGACAAGTGGTTCAAATATTAACTTTTTTGGGTAGTGTCCCCCCTTAATTTGCTTATAACTTTTAAAATACAGCGAATTTTGAGAAAATAAAAGTTTCACTAAGTTACTACGTTAACTGCGCTCAGGTTCGGTGCAATTTAAAAACCAGTAAAAAAGTCCTTGCAGGGCCCCTTTAAGAAAACAGTGCGAGAAAAATGGAGGACTAGAGGAAGGAGGAGCACACACAACATAGTGCTGATTGGCAACAGACAACTTTACTTCTGCACGAAACAGCAAGTAAACAAGAGATGAAAAAGATAGAAACAAAACAACCAACCCAATAAAACGCACAGGATGCCGACACAATCGTGATTCAACCATTTTAGAAGCTTCCTTTTTTTGCCACATGAAAATAAACCATACTACTATTACTGCTAGTATTATAAGGTACTTTCCTTCTTCAAGGCACTCTATGTGTGTTTCAATGCCGAAGACCCACACGAAATTACAACTGTATTTGCCATTCCCTTGTAACAGTCTAAGCACCACCGTTAAAGAGGACTCCGAAGATAACAGCACCACTTTCCTCCGGACTGCGTTTTTGGCTACCTCCAAAAAGATATGGCATGCGAAAAGATATGGTATGCGAAAACATAAACAACCTTCGAGGGAGTGGCGGAAACCTGCCAGCTCTGTCGGACCCATATCGGGAGACATTCTCGCACCGATAGATAGCCCAGAAAGGCATTTTGGGTCGACCTCGCAACACAACAAGCACTGCGTCCAACAGGATATCGGAAACGGGCCGCCTACGTGACTGACAGAGGGGTTGGTGCCAGGTTTCCGTCAGCCACGAGATAACCACAGCATCGTGCGCGACCATAGCGCCTGCAATGCGTCTCCGTCTGGCGTGTTTACCACGTCTTCAAATCTGGCCCCTCAATTTCCGCCCGATGACACCAGGGCAGTCATAGGATCGAGACGTCTGACAGTATGCCACGCCGGCTTTCGTAAAGTCATTTGTGGCCACTTCAGGACACTGGGGGCCACCTTTGATGCGTGGGCGGGATAGGGCGCTAAACACACCAGTCGAATGCGCATCCAGGCACCACAATCAAAGCTGTGTCAACAATCGTGCAGTGCACTGACCTTCGATGACATGAAACGCGACCATGCACCGTGAACTCCAGACCGATCCCCCAAAAGTGCATGGCACCGGGGATCTGGCCGAGGTTCGTGCCCACCTGAAGCAGCGGCGTTCCCGGTCAGCAGGTCCCAGTGGCCAGCATCGACTTCAGGCCCACCAGAAAGTCAGCTCTGGGGGAAAGAAGGAGAAAGGTCACGCGGGCAATCTACACGCCATGTTCGCAGCTACTTCCCAGGTAGCCAGGTGGACCGGTGGCAAAGTGTTTTAACATGACGCAGCTCGGGGCACGTGAAGCAGAAGCTCGAGCTGCAGAACCCAGGAATTTCGGGTCCAATCCACATCCCTGCCCATTTGAATATGGACGAGCGTCGATTGTACCGGCGTGTGGTCGTGTATCGCTACTACATGATGCATGTTAAAGACCCTGGGCTAGCAGTTGTGCTGCATTGGCAATATTTTTCTTCTTAGGCGGAGACACCGTCTCACTGTCCGAACATGCAAGCAACAGAAAAATTCTGAGGTGGTTACTGTCTGCAGCAGTCCAAATAGCCCAGCACGCCTGATTATGTGGATTACCTGTTACAAAAAGACAACCTCTCATGGATTGTGACTTAGCTCTGAAGAAGCTTGCACATCACAAGTTTGTACTGTGAGGTTTCTGAAGTTTTTCTTTCAAGTCCAGAGTAATTAAAAGAAATCATCTCATGGTTCCTATCATTAAGGCAACACCTCGACCCAAGGTTGAAAAGATTGCATCAGGCAAGATCTCATACAGGGCATCCCAACAAACATGCATCCAGCTTAAATAAAAAGATAAAATAAAAAAAGAAGTGTTTTACGAAAATGAAACAAACTGCACATTGCCAGCAAGTGTCTTGCAAAAGTGCTAACATTTTTCCATTGGGCCCGATTGATCGAGTTGGACGAAACACAACAATAACATAGAGGCGAAAACCACGGGAGGGGAGTGAGTCAAACATGCAATCTTCAACAGTCTGGGCAAAAATGCCCACTTCCATTGGGGCCGGTTCTGTGCTTCCCAACTCGAGAACGAAACATTATCTAAACTCACGGCTTTCACCTTTGTCCTAGGTAGAAAATTCCCTTCAACATAATTTTTTCCCTTCAAAATAGAAAATTACTTTTTTCCTCCACAATTTGATGTGAAATCGCACCCTCATTCATATTCCACCAAAAATGCGATAGGATGCAGCAGAGTGCGAGCAATGGCGCAAAACGGCATAAGCTAAATAGCAATCCCATCACTCGGTCGTCGCATCGCATACTTCTGACCACCATGTGTACGTGTGTGTGTGTGAAAGAAAAAGGTAGAAAGAAGCAGCTTTTTTTTTTTTTGGGGGGGGGGGGGGGGGGGTTTGAGTGACGGCTGGGCAAATCTGGGACGCAAAAGAGGGTCCTGGTAAGAGGGGAGCTCCTTTAGCCCCCTCCCTGGCGGCCATCGGAGGGCTCTTTGGATGACGTCATGTGCAAGCCATGTATAGACCAACTCATGTTAACAAACTAACCAGAGCAACTCTTAGTGGATGCCGTCGGCGCTGCACATGTGCGATAAACTGGGGGCAAGAAGCTCGCCATTGCCCATAAACCATTAAAATGCAATGTTGTCGGCGTCAATGTTGGGGGCGTGGCAAGTGCGAGGTGCTTGGGGTTTTGTGTCGCGGCGGAGAGGCGCTATTCTAAAACCCTTGCATAGCGTGCGCTAACGCAAGTGCAAAACTTAGAGCGTGCGCTAAAATTGTGTACATTATTCTAAAACTCCCTGCTGGCTAGATGGTGCAAAATAACTTCGATCTTGAAATAACAGCGGTGATGTCACCATGGTAAACACTTGCTAATAAGTAAAAGAAAACACTTATTTTTGCTCCTCAGAAACTGAATTGCATCCTGTCAGTTCTGTTTGTAGATACCTCTAGAGCGCGACCAGCACGACGATGTGTAATCGATTGAGGACCGAGAGAAGCGTCAATTTGCGATACATTTCACGACCAAACAACCCATGACTGTATGCATGATCCGGAAGCAACCATTGCACGCTGGCAGAAGTTTGAGCAAGAACTGCCGACCAGTGACGCAAAGGCAGGTCGATCCCACAGACTGCCACAAAAAGCAGAAACGCTGTCACGGAACTTGTCCCCCCTTAGCCGCCAAGTTACATTTTAAGAAGGTTGCTCCACTTCTTCCAACGAAGTGCGTACAGCGTAGGAACAAAGCAGCAACGATAACGTGACCATGACTCAAAGATATATGACCTGCGCACGTACCGCCGTGAAATGCACGCCGCATTGTTGGCCGTGAAACCGCGACGCGCTATCCTCCCGTATCACATGATGGGCCCGTGGCTATGTGTCCCGCACGCCGCTGCGCTCCTTCCAAAGGTCACGTGACGATCACATAGCACTGATTGACTTTAGATCGCTCGCAGTGCCGGCTTCGCTCGTTTCGCTGACATCTGCAGCACATCGCGCAGCTGACCGCGCAACGCGGCAGTGGCGTACCAACTTGTTTTTGAGTGGGGGGCAAACCAGACCCCCCCCCCCCCCCCCCCCCAAGGCCGGGCGGCAGTGCCCTTGGTATCCCTCGGGCCCCGCCGGCCAGTGTTTGCCCTGCCCGGTGGCGCGGCTGCTTCAGGGGGGGGGGGCAAAACACATACCTTGCCCCCCCACTCTGAGAGCTGGGGGGGGCAAGCACCCCCCTTGCCCCCCCCGGTTGGTACGCCCATGCAACGCGGTATCCTCGCAGCGCGTGTTGCAGCTTCTCGCATCGAGTCTGCCGCTTGGGGCGCGTCGGGGATCCCTTAACAATGACGTCATTCGCAGGCCTTGCTTGCAGATAGTGTGCTGCCAGGCGCGCAACTGCAGCGGTAGCTGAGACGCTGTAGTTCGCCGACTCGTTTTAGACCGCTCCGATAGTAGCCCATGCCACGCCTCCCGTGTTCCCGCTAACTGCGATTAAAGGGGCGATGCAACAATTTTTGTACTTTGCGCAAATACCACTTAGAACAGATCCCGACGTTAATGACCTATGAAACACCCGTTCGTTTTTTACCCCACACAACAGAAGTCCCAGAAAAAAAAAATTAAAGAAAAACGAGAACGTTCACTCCCTCAACTCGCAGCCAGAACAAGTGGCCACGTGATCTGGAGCCGATGATATGCCGCCAATGTTGATCATAGCCACGTGCTGCGGTTGGCAAAGCACGGGACACGCGCTGAGTTCCAGTCATAGTTATGGCTCGGCTATTGGCGTCGTTGCAGCGATTGGACGCGGGCGACTACCCGAATGCTTCTCGAGCTAGTAATTATCACGAGCCCAAATCGAGTGCCCACGCAGGGCTCGGGTCCAATCTATGAACCGTATTCAAATATCGTCACTTGGGTGTTCTGCGACCCCCTCGTTACGGCATCAAATTTTGCAAAGGAGAGATTGAACGAAAATAACTGCTTTTGTCCTTGAAATTTCACCGCAACAAAGGAGTTTCTTGGCCAGTGGCGTTGCGTGCGAGTATCCTCGAGTCCCACAAGTGCCAGTAAGCTCGTGTATAGTGAAAAACATTCCAACTGAATATCGTTGCACAGCTCCTTTAAGAGAGAGTTTTAGAATAGCGCACGCTAAAGTTTTGCGTACGCAAAGAATAGCGTCGTCGTCACTGCGCATGCGCCGAACGTTAACCACGTTTTGCGCTTTGCGCGCGCCAGTGTTGGGAAGTGCTTTAACTACATTGGACTTAAAGTACTACTTCAAGTAGGATTAGGAAACTTGTACTTTACATGAAGTACATTCTCTGAATATGTACTTGTACTTACAAGTATTTTTTTCTGGTACTTTCAGAGGAAAGTACAATTCCCGATTTCACAATACATTCCCTAAATTTTGTTTTTTAAATTTGTATCATGAAATGATGCCTTCTTAACTCCGAAGAAAAACTGGGAGGGATATTCTACTCTTGCCGGAAACGTGAGCGGACGACGCATCGCTCCATTTGTTCTGGTAGCGGCTTTCACATAGCTTTTTGAACTTTCGCTACTTCTCGGTCGGCCAGTGCAAGCGAGGAGGTTAAAAATATTAGGAAAGCGAAATTAATCATAATGAAGCACCTGAGACTATGGTGCGGAACAATTAAGTTTTCAAGTCGAAGTAAAAGACAACAAAGACTCCAATCTCATCTGTCACATTATGATGAATTATCACCAGCGCGCTAAGGGTCTGTGCGCTCCTCGAAGGAGGATTCGTGATGAGAAGTTGGCTAAAGCAGAGACGTGCACAGTTGAAAAATGGCGGCCCCCAGAACCATGGCTCCGGCCGCTTGGGCGACGTCGGCAGCATCCTCGCGACTGCGATTTTGCACCCGGTTTGGAAAACCCAACAAGGTGGGCAACGATCACCGGCAACTAGGTGCTTGCGTAGCGCGAACATTTCTCGGCGAAGGCACGGTGTGCGAAGGTCAGTACACGAGATTTCTCTTGCCGAGGCAACGCAGGCGGACACGACCAGTCGACCGCTCGTGTCTCATTCTCATGTTTAAACAAATCTAAAATGTCACTCTGGACCTTAAAACAATTTTTTTTTCTCAAGTTACAGCATTACGTGTGTGAAATAGATATTGTGACTATCTTGGTGGCGTTGCAAGCGCGAGATGCTTGGGCTTTTGCGTCGCGGCGGAGAAACGCTACCAACGCTACTCTAAAACTCTTGCGTAGCGTGCGCTAACGCGAGCGCTAAATTTAGCGCTATCGTGCGCTAAAACTGCGCACGTCATTCTAAAACTTTAGCATACAGCGCAGCCCACGCCGACCCCGACCGCAAAGACCGGATTTGAACACCGACAACAAGCCCTGGAAATCAAGACATCCCGGCTGGGAACCGCATGATCCCTTAGGACGGAAGCAAGCTGCCAAAAACACAAGTGAAGCAACTGCAGCAGCGCTACGGAAGCAGCCGAAATTGCGACTCTGCGGTACGACGCCCTCCCGACGTGTCACCGATGACGCACATCACCACCGACCGCACGAGCAATCCCTACAAGACTGTGCCAAGCACTGCCGGCCGTTTCGAAGAAACTGTCTCACCTACAAATGGCCGGCCTCGGGAAATAATCTTCGCCGACACGCACGTCGACGACACCGAGATCCGATCGGGCAAACGGGGCTGACCGACCGCGCACACTCCTGTTGTCTTCACCGAGGGACTTCGTCGAGCAAACCGCTGCCGCGCCAGTGGGGCCGGATCCTCCAGCAAGCTCCGTCGGGGCTTATCGGCCAGTGCTGCGCCCATCGGCCTAGAATCGGGCTGATAGCGACGCGTCCTGGTTATCGGGAAGAGCCCGGTTGGATCGCAATAGATAAGGTCTCCAGGAACGCCACCGCGCAGATAACGTCTCCGCGGGAACGCTGGAAGCCGGAGGAATTTCCGATAGACCGTTCCTTGACCGCTAGCGATGTCCACCTTGTCCTCTCGCCCGGAGTCGAAGGCTATCGTGAGGAATGGTCACGTCGAAATCGAGGACGACGTCAGTCGACCTTATCCAAGGGGGAGTCGACGTGCATCGATTCGCCTGTTGGGCTGCCCGGTCGAGTTCCAGGCACATTCGTCGGAACTATTGGGGAGATGGGGGGAGAGGCGACGGTGGTGGGACAGGGGAAAGCCCCCCTCGTTTACATAAAATATTTGAAATGTCTGACCACGCTTAAAGGGGCAGTGCAACGGTTTTAATGTTGAAAAAATTGCCAGTTTGCATTTTTCATTTTGTTTATACAAGCCCAAGTGACCAAAAACGCGTCACATTTCCCCGAAAAACTACTATTCTCCTGCGTAATCGCAAGGCAAAAAAACCATGGAGAATAGAAGGGTAGGAGAGGGCATGACGTCGGTCGCGTAGCCTCCACAAGCCATGCTCCCTTGACGCCTCGCCTCTTTCTCATTTTTTCCTTACTCTCCTCACTTCTCAGGTGAACGTGACCACGTCACGTGACCGTAGCTAGCCTCCGTCTAGCTATGGTGTACTAGAATACACCACAGCTTAGCCTTCTATCTGATAAAACCTACCGGACGGAGCGCGCGCAAGCCTGCAAGGAGTCCTTCTACAATCAACCATCCATCTCACACGTGACATGTCACGCGCACCAATCGCCAGACAGATCTGCGGTCACGCTGGGCACAAAATCGTTTAAACTTTTTACGACTAGGCTTCACCAATATTGCAACGTGCCCCCACCTAGTACTTCTAACCTCCTTGCAAAAAACGAATTATTTGCCGATCTAGAGCCGCCTGTGGCAGCTACGGGAACTAAAATGACGGCGTCTCTGGGGGATGCGCGGAAGTCAACAAACCCTGTCCCCCTCCGCTGCTACACTCGCCGTCGGCCCCGTGGCGAACCGTCCTTTGTGTCCATCGCTCGCCGCGACCTTCGGCGAGGCTAATCCTTTGAAAGTCGACAATCGCGGAGGAAGCGGCTGGGGTCTCAAGAGAGGGCCCAAGGGGAAACCACGTGAAACCCCAGAGTACGTCACTCGAAAGTCGGCGTGGAGAGTTGAGAGGCACTTCGACCTTCGATTTGTTACATTTTTTAAAATAAGAACTAGCTATCGCCAGAAAATGCGGTTTACGGTTTTTCGTTCCATAGGTGACGCAGATTAATTTCCGCAGTTAATTGGCCGAAGTCTGATAATCGTTGCACTGCCCCTTTAATGTTCTCATGAGCTTAAGAAACAAAAACACGAAAGAGGAACAGGGAAAAGCACTCTCGCCTTTAGTTTTAAAAACGTTAATTTTGAACGCGGGAATTAATTCAGCATTCAGATCGCCGCCTGAACTTTTGCACCCAAAATAAAAGTCGTCTCTAATGCAAAGGGAAAGGCTGTCCTTCGTGTTTCTTGTTCTTTCAAACCTAAGTACAAATGATCATTTTGACGCATACACAGAAGCGGACGGAAATCGTCGAGTGTTCCAGTAGGAGCACCGAACCTCCCGTAAGTTCATACAAGGATCGCAAAAATCGGGCAGTAGACCCTTTATCGTGCTAACCGCAGAACGAGAGCTTTGCTAGTGTCGATTCCCCGCAGTATAGTGCGAAAAGGGATGCGCATTCATCGTAGCTGACTAACCCGCCTGTGCTACGACCACCGCCGTGCACGATACACGCTGCAAGGGCTACGGAAGCGGAGCGCAGGCTGAGTGACACGGCATATACTCTCATCAAGAGGCTGCAGAACTTGAGACGTCGGAAGGGTTTGGCGGCTTTTGGACGCGCCTCCGACTGGTGTTTATCGCGTCCAAAAATGTGGTCCCTCGGTTTCCGACCAATGACGTCACAGAAATGTAATGCCATACGACACCTCAGTTGTGCAACTCCCGTCTTCGCCTGCCCGACCGGCTCTTTCCGATCTGTTAACTTGTTCCCAGTGTAGGAACAAGTTTTTTTTTTTTTATCTCTTTTTTTATTTATTTGTTGATATATTTAAGTAAATTTCGAATAATTATAAGCACGCAGAGTAAAGCTATAATGTTGAGCCCGAAGCTGTCTGCTTATGTCCGCTTATTAATGCACTCTGACGGGACTGCACCTTCAACCGTTTTTCTTCGCCCCTCCGTCTGACGTCACGTTTTTAGTGTGGCCAGTAGATACACAGCGTGTGGATGCGGAGAGCGCACCAGCATTCAAAACCACCCCAGCGAGTTCGACTGCCTAAAGAAATCTAATGTTAAGTGCCACCAAAAAAAAAAAAAAAAAAAATCATATATGAAAACAGTTTGTTCAAATTGGCGTTTTATGAAAGGAAACAGTTAACGAGAACTTGCTGCTTGGATATTTACTTAGCATGCAGTTTACACAAACAGGCCCGTGTTTGCCCCAAACCAGGTGTGGCCAGAGCGCTCGCGCGCAGAGACCTGCAGATTCGCGTGAAGCGTCTGAGCAGGCGCAGTTCCGAGCCCAGCGCCCCCGCGGTGCGGCCGCTGCCTATTAACGAGGTCCTTCCTTTAGTCCTTATCACGTGAACGGACAGCGGGACGTTTCATAATTATACATCCCAGCGTCGCTTGGAGGAAGCGACGCTGACCCCATAATGAAGCCGTCTCTCTCGTCGCAAACGAATAAAAAGTAGAAATCAAAAATGAAAAGAATTAATATGTGCGAACCAGACACTCCGTTTCACCTTACGTTGGACCACAGCGGGCCGTGTATACAATGCCATTTCCAGCCATTACGCTGCGAAAAGGCGCCACACGCATATCGCCGTGACCCTCGGGCTGCGTTCGGTCCACTCCGATGACCGCGGTTCCATCGACTATCAACAAAGACGGAAGTTTTAGCTGACGCGGTAGCAACGGTCGCAATGGACTCATCGTTAGCTCGCACGAGAAGTTTTGCGTCGTTTCTTTCCGAGTTAACTTCGATCGATCACGTGTCGTGTCAGCGGACTGTCTTCGGCAGTCTCCACCACAGACGCTCGCCAGCAGCGGCGCTTCGAGAGCTAGTCTGGCCACCGTGGACGGAACACGCTTCGTTTGGTCGCCAGTCTGGAAACCGTGGGTGCGCCTCGGCAAAAAATGGCGGCGCCTAGAGGCCCAAACGCCTATGCGGAGAGCAAGTTCGTCTGCTTCTTCTGCAGGGGTGTGGTGACGTCAAAGCACCGAGCTCTGATTGACTGCGATTGAAGGATGCTGGGTAGACCTCAAGGCAGCTTTCTTCGAGTTCTCCTCGCTATCCTTCAATAAAGGCAAATCATAGTTCGGCGTTCTGACGTCACCATAAGCCATGCAAAAAGAAGCAGACGAACTTGCGCCCCGCATACACAAAACTGCGCACGCGCAATACCGACAGCAGCGCCACCGTAGGGGCATGACGTCAGTTGAGCGTTTGCGTTTGCCCATTACCAAATATAACAATCGCGCGCAGAAAAAAAAAAAAAAGAAGGCACAGTATTACGGGCATTTACCGCGCGCCTGGTTTAGCCGCGGGACAGCAAACGCGCAAAGACGACCAAGCGCCGTGACGAGGCACTTTTGCCACCGCTTGATTGGTTGCGATCCGGCGAACCAGGAAGGAAGGCTAGAAGACGGGAGAAGGCTGCAGCTTCCGCGGCGCCCAAGCAGCTCGGGAGAACCGGTTTTCAAAATAAAAAGAAGGAAGAGCTACCGGGTGATGGATTAAAATAATGAGCGTAAATTGTGTCGTGCGCGTACGTGTTTGGACGACGGGCCGTTAGTCAGCCCTAATGGGTGCCTGGTGTCTCAGCTGTATAGACGAGCAATAGAGCCGTTGCAGTGCCAGCCTGGCCGTCTTCAATGTGCACCACGCAGTAGTGATTTACACGACCGCACGCCGGGACGATGCTCATCCAGATGGAAACGGGCAGGGGTGAGGGTTCGAGCTATGTGCCTGAACTCTAGATGCTATAAGTGTAGACAGAACACAAAAAGGACCGTGGAGGGGCATACAGATGTCTCGAAATGTCCTATTCTTGAGATTAGCAACGCCGTATTCACGAGCCATCTATCTGAAATCTAGTCAAAAGCTGAAACAAATTACTCACCCAAAGAACAGAAACATATGACACTTCATTCTGTGTCACCACTTGGTGCAGTACAGGCGAAGGCAACGCCAGGGGTGGGGAAAAAAAGCGAAAACTAGGAATGCTGGCTAGGAGGAGAGAAACCTTTCTCCTCTAACCTTCATAAGGCTCTCCCTTTCTCCCCTATCCATCGCCCTCCTTCCTTTCCCTTTCTCTCTTCTAATGGCGTTGCCTTCGCATGCATTGCACACAACTGGTGACACGGAGTATTCGCAACTCCAGCGCGCCGCTCGCCCTCCCGCGGACGAACGGAGAAGCAGAGGAGCGGGGACGGCAGCGGCGGCGGCGGCGCGGAAACGTCGGCAGGGACTCTCGGCCTTGATGCGTGAAGCCGTTTTGACTAGAAAAGTGAGCGCGTTAAAAAAGGAATTCTTGTGCTCCGCCTTGCAACAGTCTTGCACGAAGGATCGGGATGTCTAATTTCATTAGGGACTTTTCGTGTATCGCATACGCTGCGGAATTCTGGTCTTGTGCATGACTGCCAGCTCAATCTGTGCTCAACGTGACGGAAAACGACCCCGCTAATAATGAAGAACTCTATAGTACGGTCTAGGGAAAGTCTATTCTTTGCCATAAGTAGGAGGAAACTTGTCGCGCAACGGTATGTCGAGCAATACAAATCGGCAATGGGTTCGCGTTTTAAGGCCGTTACAAGGAACATGACCATTTATTCCAAGCACTTTAAAAAGACAGAATACCCGTACTTGCTTTCA